AGACTTGCAAAAGAGCACCCTGGTGCTCTCAACCACACCGCTGGAGAAAGGGCCACAGCATCAGAGTGTCTTAAGCCATCAACCACACGGCCCGCAGCAGAGCCCAATCAGCTGACCATTTCACTCTAGTGGGAGTGTGGCACCTGTAAGCCGGGGGGCTCCTGGCTTTTAGTATTTAGCGTTTAATGGAATATGTGAACGGTAAGAATTTAGGTGTCACCACTAGAAAAAAACATTTGTTTAGAGATTTGGGGGTTCATGACATCCTTAAAAAATCTGCTTAATATTCACGAAGATCATATCTACATACAGACCAAAAAGAACTTCACAGCACACTCTGAACTGTGCTCTGAAGTGAGCTGTGCTCTCATGGGTCTCCATCTTTCCCTTTGCCACACTTTAGTTAACTGTGGTCAGAGATGTTCCTGTGCTGCCTGGTGGTCCTGCTCGGTGCTGCCCGGGACCTGTGAGGCTGGCTGCCTGTGTGCAGTGGACCCAGGGCTTCCTGGTTTAGTTTCCACTCCTCTGTAGCCACCCAGCACTCACCCAATGTAAGTCTGTTTCTGAGCAGCAGAAGTGCTCTTCGGCTGGAGGAGCCTGTGCCTGTGGGTCCACAGTGCTGCTGCCTGTGGATACGCACTCACACTTTTAAATACCTCCCGGCAAAAATGCTTCCCACCCATTTCAGGACCTAGATTCCTGTCTCTGCAGAGGCTTCTTTCTTACAACCAAGCAGCAAATGCATAATGGTGTGAGGGCCAGGCACTGCCTCTTGGTGCTGAGCAAGTTGGGGACAAAGGCAAGGCACCTTGGCACAGAACAGAGATAACAGGCATCAAAGAAGCCCTCTCTCCCCCTGACTTCTCTTTCCTCTATTTATTTTAGATTTTTAGGCTCTGAGAGGCCCTTACTCATATCACTAAACAAATCTTAATGCTGTTGTAAACTCTTCAGGTTTACAACAGCAAACAAAAAACTAACTTCTAGGGCTGGGGTTGTGGCTCAGCGGTAGAGGCTGGCCTAGCATGTGCGAGGTACTGGGTTTGATCTCAGTACCACATAAAAACAAATAAAAAAAAAATAAAGGTATTGTGTCCACCTCCAATTAAAAAAATATTTAAAAAACAAAAACAAACAAACCCCCCCCAAAAAAAAACCCACTTCCTAGGCCAAGATGGGCAGCTTACAATCCACAATTATCCATACAGTTTAGAGAATACTGGAAATACTGCAGGACAGAGAGCCCCAATTTACAAATTGTGTCCTCAGAGTTCATTTGTAAAGTGATTTACAAATTTTTCCTTAGAAGTAATATTACAGACAGGGTCTCAGATGATCCACAAGATCTCATTTAACCCACCACCTCCCTGAACCACAATACTAGTCAGTGTCCTAGAACTACAGAACTGAGGCTGGGAGCCTGGGGCCAGCAGCATCAGGCACTGGTTGATGACATTCTGACTCCTGCAGTGGGAAAGGAGCCACTGGGGCTGGAGAAAGGCAGACACAGCGGAACCTGTGTCCCCACCCCCATTGCTGGATGCACCTTCACCTGCAGGCCTCCCCACCCCCCTCCCGTCATGCCCTGCAGCCATAAGCTTCAGCACCCTACTGCAATGCCACCTTTTACTGCTCAAAAGTAGCTGCTGCCTCGCCCTGACAGATCTTCCTGAAGCAGCTGATATCACTGTACATCTGAGTGAGTGATTCCCAATGAAGTGTCAAGGTCTGCACTACAACCTGTCCAGAGGTTTCTGAGTCATCAGAAGACACCTGACTATCCAGGTGAACCTCCCTAGCTCTCAGGGAGGACAATAACCAACAAAACAGGTCTGCGGGAGAACCGATAAATGACTCTGGGGACTGTTTCTAAGACATTTCTGCTCTTCAAAGAAACTTCTTTCTTCCCCAACAGTTTGAAAATTAATGCCTTTTTCTCTTAAAGCTTCCCTGGGGGGCTGGGGATGTGGCTCTTTCTCCCTCTCTCTCTCACACTCTCTCTTTAAAAAAAAAAAAAAGCTTCCCTGGTACTAGCAGGCACAGTCTTCCACACACGAATGAGTGTGCAAGGGGCAGTGTGAGTCCTGGCTGAGGCAGTGCTGCCCCAAGTGAACAGAAGCCAAGACATTCACAACCAGCTTCGTGAGTCCTCAACACAGTGACCTTGACATGAGAAGCAAAGGCTCAGGGGGCAGATTCAGAGGCTGACACCAGGTTCTCTTTCTGCCAGGACCAAGGGGTATGTCAGAGATCATTAAAAAGTCTGAGGAGGAACGCCACACAACTTCAGTAAACCTTGTATTTTGTGGGGGAGAAGGAACTGGAATCAAGAATCAACATATTCTTAAGCGTGGTGGCACATGCCTGTAATCTCAATAACTTGGGAGACTAAGGCAGGAAGACCGAAAGTTCAAGATCAGGCTCAGCAACTTAAAAGGCCCTAAGGACTGAGACCTTGTCGCAAAATACAAACAAACAAAAAGGGATGGAAATATGGCTCAGTGGTTAAGCAACCCTGGGTTCAATACTCAGTAGTCTCCTGCCCCCCCCCCAAAAATCAATATATCCTAAATGAGAAACAGAAAGTGGGCAAATAAAGCAGATATTCTCAGAAAAAGTAGGTAGTTAAAACACCCAACTCTACAGGATTCTGTCCATGCATTTGCTCCCTCTAGCTGCCCTGAGGCATTAATTACTTAAAAAAAAAAAAAATCAGAAAACATCATCTTGGCCAGGGAAAGGAAAAAACCTAGATACTGAATTCCAACACACACTCTAAGCCTTGCCTGATATCAGCTTCAAAAGGAAGCAGCCTCATTAAGAGACATTACTGCACCTTCCAGGAGCCACAAAGGCTGGAAACTGGCACCAACCTGGGGGCTGGAGGGGAACAAGACGGAAGCTGCCTCTTTGGTTAGCAATGCACTGAAACTCCAAGAGCCTCCTCCTCAGGTGGTTCTCTCCAGCACAAATACACTGGAGGCCTTCAAGTAAACAAGCCACTGTCCATTCCAATCATCCCGGTTGTCATTACTCCCACTACAGAGAGTGACACCTCAAACAAAGTGCTCTGCTCATATGCAGGCCCTTCCGGCCAAGATCTTCGAGGCTTTGACAATCATGCTTATTAATCTTGGCAACACCCAAGAGAGAGAAGCCGGCCATATAGCTTTTTGATTCTTCTAGAGCAAAGAAGCAAAAACCAAACCAGTGAATTGAGGGACTGAGAGTCAAGGCCACACGTAAGTCAGAAAAGTGACCTCAGGACTTGTATGTTCTTCACTGCCTGCTCCACATCTCCCAATCAGTCCCGAYGGCAAACAGGAAGCATTTCTCCAGCACCCAGAGGGCACGAGCCACCTCTTTTTAGCCACTGCACACTGAGTCTTATTATGGTATTTAATTTTAAAATAACTATAACAACAATTTTAGAAAGTGGCAAGTTTGTTTTTCCCCAGCATTCTCTAGATGGTAAATCAAATATTTAATCCTATGTCCATCTCTGGAAGGAGCAGCCTACTGGCAGCTGTACTTGATCAAGGGGGTCAGTAGGAAAACCTCTGTGATTAGTCGCCTAAGCTTCCTGGCTGACCATCTCCTCCATATCAGATGCTCTTATGCCTTAGACGTGACACCCATAAGAAGACAAAAAGCAATTATAATACAGACCTAACATGGCTCCCCAAAATCCCATCATTTGATTTGTTTTGTTTGCAGTACCAGGGATTGAACCCAGGGGCACTCTAGCACTGAGCCACATCCCCAGCCCTTTCTTATTTTTAATTTTGAGACAGGTCTCACTGATTGCTGATGCTGGTCTCAAACTTGAGATTCTCCTGCCTCAGCTACTGAAGTCACTGTGATTACAGGCATGTGCCCCCTCACCCAGCGGCATCATTTGATTTTTAAAAGCAATCTCAGGGTAGTGTAAATTGAAACCCAAACACGCAGCCTCTAATGCACTGTCTTAGTCCGTAAATTACTAAACTTCTTGTTGCAGAAACAGAAGAAAGCCCAGAAAGCAGGGGCAAAAAGAGGACAGAAGATGGCCACGCTTTGTACCCAGGCCCTGAGAGAAAAGTATTCCTGATACTGTAACAAAAACTACAGATGCCTCTTATTTCAACAACTGGCCCCTCAACAAAACATGCTTCTATTGTGTTTCTTTCTTTTTTCTTCTTTTTTTTTTTTTTTGGTACCAGAGATTGAACCCAGGGGTGCTTAACCACTAAGCCACATCCCTGGCCTTTTTAATTTTGAGACTGCATCTTGCCAAGTTGCTTATGGCCTCACTAAGTTGCTGAGGATGACTTTTCCATACTTTTTCTCAAGCTCCCAGATTTTAAGGTAATTCTATCTATCTATCTATCTATCTATCTATCTCTCTCAGAACTCTAATAATTTAGTAAAGAGAAAGACTTATACTACAAGTGAAGCATACAGTGGGAAGAACAGAAATGACTTAAGATGATGCTTTTTTTTTAAAAGGGTACTAAAAACTCCTATTATCCAAATGACCATCTAAATTGGAGTCCATTTTTAATTGCAAAAGTCCAAAATAAAAGAATCTTAACACTGAGTTGTATTTACAAGGTCACATATGAAATGAGTACTGCTAATGATAGCAAATGTCTCAGCCTCTTTCCAAAAAACTCCACCTGATGGGCAGGAGGAGAGGATAGATGTCAATTCCACTCTGTAAATGAGGAAGTAAAGCGAAGTGGAGGAGGAGCTGCCCGGGGACAGAGAGGGAGCAGTGGCAAACAACAGCTCGGCCCTTGAGGTTCCATCTATAGACTCTGTGTGCTGAAGAATGTCAATAAAAGGATCTTCTTCAGTCAATGGGGGAGGACAAAAACGAGAGGAGRACACTTTTACAACATCTGGGAATGAAAACATGTAAAACTGCAAAACAAAAAAAAATGTTGCTGTCAAATCATTAAGCTCCTCCTACTTCTCAAACAGCTGGAATACAGGTGTCTCTGGACTTGATGACTCACCTTTGCTTCGTCGTTAATATCCCAGGTAAAGGATATGGCATTATAAGCAATCTCTTCAATGTTACTGATGGTATTGAAGCTTTCTTTATAGTCAGCTATGAGAAATGGTGAACAAGAAAAAGAAGTTCATGATTTTTACTTTTGACATGAGATCATGGTAGCTTTAGAGAAACATTCAATTCTTCACGTTACCATTTCTGCATAATTTAAATAAACATTTTGTTGGGCTGAAAGAAGTTCAGAGAAATGAAGAAAAACAGAACTTTTTATAACAGAAGTAGGTTTAGAAAGTATTTGATTCAATCTCATTTTGTCAAAATAAGGAAATTTAAGCCAGGAGTGGTGGGATACGCTTATAATCTCAGAGACTTGGGAGGTTGAGGCAGGAGGACCCCAAGTTCAAGGTCAGTCTCAGGAACTCAGTGACACCCCATTTCAAAAGAAAAAATGAAAAGGACCAGGGATGTGGCTCAGTTGTAAAATGCCCCTGGCATCAATCCTTGGTTCCAAAAAAAAAAAAAATCAAATTTAGGTCTCAAAAGTTAAAACAATGGCCCAAGGTCACTAAACTAGTCTGTGAAAACAAGCTAATTATAGTAAGTTCCTGTGATTCTTCTGAAAAGAGTAGAGGAGCACTGCAAAGGTTAAAGAAAAAAGAGCATTATGATTAATGGCCATCTATCACAAAGTTACTTCAGGGAACGCGGTGTGTGCAACCTGCTGCGCACTCCAGGTGGCAGATCCCTGGGCTATGCACAGACACACAGATCAGGGTCTGGCACTAACTGGGGAAGACCATAGGCAACTGCACAGTGGTGGAGCTTCCTTTCATTCGTTTGGCTTTTCTATCTTCCTTATCATAATCTCCAAAAAAATGGTCAGCATCTCTTAAAAAAGACACTGCCCCTCAAAAACTGTGCAAACTGAGCTCAGAGGTAGAGGACTTGCCTAGCATGCACAAGGCCCTGAATTCCATCCCCAACACCACAGGGGAGAAGAAATGCAGACTGAACAGTTAACACAGGCTAACTCCTAAGGTAGCTGGCTAAAGCTCTTGGCACCAGCATCATGTGGAAAGCCACTGCCTGGGCATAGGCCTTTGTGAGGGAAGCAAAGGCAGATACTGATTCCAGGAGTCCCAGAACAGTGGTTGGAACAGACCAGTGGTTGGCATAAAAATTCAAATGTTTTCAGCAGGAAGCTGGCCAGTGCCAAAAATAATTGGATTTAGAAAGCTGGGTGCTTGCACCTCTGGGAATAAAAGCAAGCTTCTGAGCTACTTACCTATGTCAATGCACCTTTGTTTAGCAGTGTGCTGCCGGGAGTGCCAATACTTCCAGTGCCTCAGCTGATCCTCCCTGCTCTTGTCTTCAGCAAAAACCACCATRATCACACTCTGAGAACAAGAATGCATCACAACATAAAGACACTGAAGGACAAGTTTGGAAAAGACATGATGAGGGACTTTATAGTTAATTCTTAAAAACACACTATCAGGCCTTCATTCAGAGCTGCCTCAGACACAGAAGTATTAGGACGAGGGGACAGCTGATGAGCTCCAAGGGAAAAAATGAGCAGAACTTACTCGAACTTTGCTGATGGGGTGGTGGATCCCTTCACTGCTGCTCACCTCCTTCAAGGTGACGGGATAGAACTGGCCCTTGTTCAGGTATGTCATAGTGCTGTCTCCTGGCTTCTGCCGAAGTGATTTTGAAGCTTCGAGGGTATACTCAAAGTTGTTCCTAAAGAACAAAAAGTCACAAATCTGTAATTCAGTCCCTTGGAAGCTTCCTGTATGCTTTAGTACATGCTGAAATGCTTCAGTGTGGGTGTACTGAGACAGCAGACCACCAACAAACATCCAACAGATGACCATATCATATCTAAGGAGCATTTGCTACCTTTCTATGATAAACAGAATCTTAAAACACAAGTAGTTAGAGACCAGAAATTCTCTTGCTGTCAGATGGAGAACTAAAAAATGCCTACTAGAAGTTCTATGATGTGACATCAATAACCAAACATCTGGAGGCTGAGTCTAGGAGAGGAGCAGTAAGTAAAAGGCCCCGGGAAGGAACCCTCACAGGACAAGCTGTGAATGTGGTGTTTTTCCAGCAAAGGTTGCAAAGAGACAGCTGGAAATCCCTGCAACCAATGTGACCTCACTGCCCAGCACTTTGTTATTGTTTCTACCTGTAACATAAAACATGTCTAAGGAGACACCCCACATTCTCTATGTTTCCTATCACTTTACACCACCCCTCAGAAGTGCCCCTTAATAACCTTCCTAGGCCAGAGGTTGGCAAATTATATCTATCTTTGTAAATAAAGCTTTATTAGAATTCAGCCATATCATTTGTTTATATCTGCAGCCGCTTCTGCACTACAAGGGCAGAACTGGGTCACAAAACCATGGAGGCTGTATGGCCCACGAAGCCCCAAATATTTACTATCTGACCCATTACAACAGTTGAAGACCTCTATCCCAAACCCTAAAGGCATCTGAGTTTGTGACACCTACACTTTGAGGCAGGTCTATAAGGGAAGTCTCAATTCTCTTAAAACCCTACACTTTAAAAAACTATTTTTTAAAATTACAAAACATATGGGGCTGGGGATGTGGCTCAGGCAGTAGCACACTCGCCTGGCATACACGGGGCGCTGGGTTCGATCCTTAACGCCACATAAAAATAAAAGATGTTGTGTCCACTGAAAACTAAAAAATAAATATTAAAAAGTTCTCTTTTTAAAAAAATTACAAAACATAACTTTTTTTTTAAAAAACCCTCATAAAATAATAAAAGGAAATCCTAGACTCCAACAACAACAACAAAAAATCCCGCAGGTATGTTCCTAAATAACTTGGAAATACTCCTATTCCCAGAGTGGGATGCAATTCTGTGAGGCTAAAAAGAAGTCAAATTAGAGCTGGGTGCGGTGATGAATGACTGTGACTCCAGAGAGGCAGGAAGATCACAAGTTCAAGTCTAGCCTCAGCAACTTAGCAAGGCCCTGAGCAACTTAGATCCTGTCTCCAAGTAAAAAACAAAAAGAAAAAGGCCCAGGGACATGACTCGGACTCAGTGGTTAAGTATCCCTTAACCACTGAGTAACAAAAAAAAAAGCAGGTCAGAAAAAAGTTGCCTTTAATTATTTTATCATTAGTAAGGCTGATTAAAAAAAAAAATGAAGGCCTTTGTCCACTTGATGTTTCTCCTAAATTCTTGGCTAGTTATACATTTCTGGAAACAGAAGGGCCTCACTGATTTAGGGTAACCCCCACTTCTCCTTCCAGGTTCCCTCCTACCACATCACAGAAAGAAGCCAAAGCACCAACACCAGGAGCTGAGGAAACCGGAAACAATTTCAAGAGTCCCCAATCAAATGTCCTCTACCCAAGATAAGGCCACAGTCGGCAGAGTCAGATGAAGGAGAAAGCCCGCCAAAGCCACCTCTGATTTGTCAGTATGAAGGTAACAGAAAGGGAAGAGATCATAAATGCTGAAAATTAAAAACCAAATTAAAAGACAACTATTACCCAGAAACACTGTCAAACACATAGTCCTCTGAATTCATGCCAGGCATCCGCAGACTGAGATCCGAGGGGAAGAAAACCTGAAATATCAATGTAATAAGCCACAACCATGTAACTGTTATGGTTACTAAGGTGAAGGTCTGGTACAGCACACAGTGTGTGGCTCACAGAAACCCACTACCTGTTCAACATTCATTTTAAAGTAAAAGCCATAAATCTATTTAAAAAAAAAMAACACCTTTAAATTTAAAAAAAGAAAAATATTTTAAAAATCCACTTTTATATACCACTCAAGTAAATTACTTGATTCCATTATCCCCCTTTTCCTTCCCACGCATCCCAATTCTGTTGAACTCTAGAATCTGCAGCCAAATGTTGCGAGCTCTAGGAGCTCAATTTGCACCCCAGCTAGATGAGTTTGGTGCCTTCTTGGGAAAGGTTATATTCTGCCCCTAACCCACAAGCAGAGGTAGATGCCATTTTCCCCACTGGGACACTAAAAATCATTACATATCCCTTTAACGTGAGTGAGATGTGCATGATCATGAACCCTCACAACTCTCTGGGATTAATTTGTAAGTTTCACACGATGCATTTGTAACCTGCCTACCTCCGTGGCTGTACTACCAACCAAGAAACACTCAGCACACACTTGATAAATCATTCACATTAAGGCCACTTGCAGGGATCCTGCTTGGGTCTATGATAAAAGCTGAAAACAGAGTATGCGAACATCTGTGGTCGAGGGACAATTATGCACTGGGTTTCTTTCTCTCTCCCTCCAGCAAAACCACTTAGTTGTAATCATAATTGTTAACTCAGCTGCTGGTAAGATTAGCCATGTGCCCTTGATAATAATTTCTGGATTTATAGGTTTAGCTTACAAATTATACCCATGGGCCTTTTCTGCTAAAAAAAAAAAAAAATCTTTTATTCCTAATCCATTCATTTTCGGCTGAGTTTCAAGCTTACATAACAAGGAAAAGGTGGAACCCAATACTTAAACAAACACACAGCGTGTCAGGAAGATGTTTTTGTTTCCTGTACCTCCTGAACACCCTCCTTGAAGGTCTCAGAGAAGGTGGAGTCTGGGGTCCGCCGCTGAGCATTGGGGGGCTGAGCCCCAGAGCTGAACTGGTCAGTGTTGAGATTCCGGTCGAAAATCACCACACGCTCTGTGGGCTCAGGATGATACCCGGCTGGGGGGATCCCCACGGCAAAGCCATGAGGCTGGATTTCGGTCTTGATAGAGTGGGTAGGCATTGTTGCTATGGAGACAGTGACTGTTGTATCAGGAGCTGTCAGATGGCCTCTCTTATCAATGCCCAGTTGGTTGCCATGGGGAAGGACGATGTTAAAGGGCACATTTTTCAGTACTTGCACTCTGTTTTCTCCAGCAGAAATGAGAGGCTGATCTGTTACGTTTGGTATGTTATTTCTTTAAGAAAGGAAAAAAAAATCTGTGTTTTCAATCTCAGCACTGATATAGTTCTTGACTTTTTCTTTCTTTTTTCTTCTTTTATTTTTTGTGATGCTGGGGATGGAGCCTGGGCTTCAAACATGCTAGATAACTGCTCCACCACCGAGTCATATCCCCAGTCCCTAATTAATTCAAGTCCCAGGCTGGGGTTGTGGCTCAGCAGTAGAATGCTCACCTGTCACATGCAAGGCCCTGGGCTCAATCCTCAGTACCACATAAAAATAAGTAAAACACACGTATTGTGTCCAACTACAACTAAAAAATAAACATTTAAAAAAATAATAAGTCCCATGCAGTAATAATACACTTGACAGAGATCAGCTAAACAGAAAATGGCACCATCAACATTACTAGAGAAGGAAAAAGTTCTTCACAGTTCTAGTCCAAGTTAAATCCAAAAGCATTGTTTCATTTGAAATACTGACAACTAACAGCTTTCTTCTTATATACTTTATTTTCAAAAACCTTAACAAAGTTCTTATATTTTACTATAAGCCTGAAGCTGTAAGTGTACCCTATTAGTTGAGTCAGACTGCCTGGGTTCGAATTCTGTGTCATCCTGGACAAGTTACTTCACAGCTCAGTAACATCTTCATCTGTGAAATGGGGATAACAACAGAGTCTATCCTCTTACGTGGCCAAGGATGGAATAAGATGTCCCCTGAAGTACACGGAATGGCCCCTGGCCCACAGATGCTCAAGAAGAGAAACCTAGCATTGCTCAATCCCTGCCTTTCCCAATACTGATGCCATCTGGTTTTCTTCTTCACCAAAGGAAAAGCTAGTATCAAACTGCACCAGTGGGATGTTTTGCATAAAATTAAATTTGCTTTAATAAATATCCTGGGCAATAGTTGATGATTCCTAGTGGGTGAGATGAATGCATTTTTAAAACCTCCTGAAAACTAAGGAAAAAAGCAAGTTGGCAATTTTATGCCTTTCAAGATCAATAAAACTGTTCAAACCCTGAACCATAAATTCTCTCACAGGAATTTGTCTCAAAGAAAGAGGCAAAGGGCATGAGGAACAACATAGAAAGTTTTTCACTACAGCTTGTTATGGGGAGGAGCAGCTTAAATTGAAGAACTTGTATTGATAAGTGCTGAAGGTAGTAATAAATACAAGTGGGTTTATTCTATTCTTCTCCTATTTTGATTGAAAATGTGCATAATAAACAATAAAAGCCATAAACAAGCACTTCTCCAAAGGATAATTGTGAAGACTAAAACAGCAAAATGGAAAGTATTTATGAAAGAACCAGGTAGAATAAAGCATATTATCAAATGCTGTCTATGACTACAACCACCTCCACATCAGTGTATGCATATGCCAAAATAAATAAATAATCTTCAGGACAGCAGGATTCTAAGTGAGCACTCATTCTTTAAATGTTTTATTCTTTATTACTAATAAAACATGAGAGCATTTAATAGGTCTTTTTTAAAAAGCATCTCATGCCCATAAATTTAAACCTTAATTTTCTGGAAATTTTAAGCTAAAATACTTCAAAAATATTTTTTAAAGGAGTCTGGATACCATTTACTTTATTTTATTGAGTTTAACTCAGGCAGTTATTCAACAGACAGTGAATAGACAGTCTTTTTTTTAAAGACCCCCCCTCCCTCTTGCCACACCCTCCTTAAGAGGGTCTCAAAGCAAATAAGCAAACACTTTAAGTTATCGCTGAAAACATCCCTTTAGAGGAGCAAAAAGTTAACACTTTCATTTTCTAGAAAAGGCAACTGTCTAAAGAAACTTCACAGAGCAACACAGGTAAATTTACCCATCTCTTTCTCTAGTGTTTATTCATTTAGACAAATTCCCATTTTATTTTTACAGAAATGTGGCATCTTTTGAGTGGACTGTTCAATATTAAATATCACCTTTTGCTGTGATCTGGCTCCGCATGCTCAACTTCTGGCTTGGCTGTTGATGATCGTCTCTCTCTTGGAACCTTAAACATTAACACAAATGAGAAAAAAATCAGCCCTCACCCAGTGAAGATGGTTCACCCAAAGAAAGAGCCTTTCAGTTTCCACCAAACTCAGTCATTCACTTGTCCCCTGACAGCCTATCAGGCAGCAGGCTCTGGGGACACAACAAACAAGGCAGCTTCTGGCCTCAAGGAGTTTACTACGGGCCCCCATTTTGATGGGTAAAAAGCAATTATTAGGGTTGGGGATGTGGCTCAGTGGTAGATATCTTGCCTGGCCTGTGTGAGGCCCTGGGTCCAATCCACAGCATCAAGGAAAAAAAAAAAAGAAAAGAATTTCACATTTTATCACAAAGACCCTGATGAGTAATTACCACTAAGAAATTGTTACAATTAATATTAGGACAGATATGAGAAGTTCTTTACTCCTGAGATGTAAAATACTTTCATGATTTAAACCATCAGCACTAACGTTACTACATTAGTCTTTCTGGCACTAAACTATTGAATTTCTCCCTTTCTCAAACGTTTCAGTTAAAAATGTAGTTTCATAATTAATATCTTAGAAAAATTTTTATACAGATTGAATCAATAAGCCATAGGATCAGATACATAATAATTTCTACTTCAAAGGAACCCTCATGGCTACACTTTTTAGCATCTTTAGTTATTATACAAGTTCCTGCTCATATTCAAAGACCAAAATCTTTACTGCAATTCACCAAACACTACAAATCGGACACATGACCTTATACCAGGAAACAATTAAATATTTTGTTCAGTTCCCACCCTAATTTTGGTAATCCAATTATCTTCTTTGCTTTTTTTTTTTTCTTCTTTGTTTTTCTCATATACAGAATAGAACACAGAGTCAGAATATAACAGAAAAGCAAGTGACTGGTGAACCTAGGTAAATGTATTCAGGATTTGATGATTTCATTATTTGTAGGCCTGAAAGTCCCCACAACAAAAAGGTGGTAAAATATAGACTGTAATATACACACATATATACATACATATGCCCACACATATCTGTAAGGAGACCCTGTCATTGGAACACTTCTTAGGGCTGAGGATGTGGCTCTACAGTGGAGTGCTTGCCTTGCATGTGTGGCTTTGAGTTCGATTCCCAGAACCACATGCGTGTGCATACACACACACACACACACACACACACACACAGAAGTGGTAACAGCACAATGATTGTACATAAGACACACGTGGCAATGAGACAAAGTTCACATAGCAAGATGTACTTTGACTTAGTATACCCTTTAAACTGTGACCTAAACTCTTTTTTTTAAATTTTAAGTAAATTTTTATTTATATATAGTATTTACAGAGAACAACAGTACATAAATTATCAGTATAAAGCCTGTTGAATTATCACAGAGTGAACAAATCTATGTAACCACTGTCAAGAAGAGAATTACAACATTGCCAGCCTCCCTGGATGTCTGTCACGCCCTGTGTCCTAGACTCTTAATAGCCATCCCCAAACATCTGCTTTGGTCGGAAAGAAGAATGGCAAGGGGAACTAAGAAGAATCAAATCCCTTAGCAGACAGCAGGCTGTCTCCTCAACTGGCCCAGACCAGTGCGGAAGCCCCACCTGCAGGACCCGAGAGTGAGAAGCAACACATGCACGCTGGTAACATGGCCAGCATTAACAGGTCATCAGTGAGTGGGAGCTGCATTAGTAGGACAACAATAAAGATAAGGAGACAGACAGTGGTGTCCTTTCCAGAGAAGGAAAACCATGTGGAAGTCCATATGAATTATAGATTCTATTTAACACTAATTTAAATCTCTAGAAACAAGCAACAAAATATGTCCTGATCTTAAAACTAGAGGCTCCCAGAGTAAAAACTGTGTCCTCGCCATGAATCCTATAATCAAACTGAATCAAAAGGCTCCATAATAACATTTACAGAAAAAGGCAAGCACCTTGACCAGAGAGAAACAGAGGCAAGAGCACAGTGCATTAGCACTGCCCTCTTCTCGTGGCACTAAGAACCCTCTTTGGTACACCGCTCGACCCAGTGAGACACATCTGCCATCTGCTTTAATGGGAGCACCCCCTTACAAAGAGAGCAGAATAGCTGGCTACTTCACACGTTCTAAAAACAGCCCTTTGAGTCTATGACTGTGGATGTTCAGCTTTGAACCAGGGTAAGTCAAAGTACTCATTAAACTATTTACAGTCACTACAAAAGCAACCAGCCCCACACTCCACCAGCAAATGGCTGTTTTATATGCTGCTGAATCAAGTGCCTCTGAGACTGTGGCAAGGGCTTTAAAGCGCAGCAGCCTACCTTGTAGTAGTCGTAGAGCAAGCCCAGCGCCGCRGCACTGTCCTCGTCTCCATTGATGCTCATCATGGCTTTGGTTGCCGCGGTGAGCGGGTTTTCCAGGAAAGACTTCCAGGCTTCATCCTCGCTGGTATAGGAGCGCCGCTGGGGATAAAGTGCTTCATTCTGAAGAACCAACACTGGCCGTTTGCTTCAGAGAAATTAAAAATTAAAAAAAAAAATCATATTCTTCTCCTCAAGGCATCACACAAACTAACTTTTAAAAACCAAACAGCCAATTCCTTGACATTCCTGATTGTTTCACCTGTGACCCGCTAAGTCAAATGAAGACAAGATCAGAAGGCAAACCACTTAATGCAGACCAGTGGGTCCCTCAGGAAGATATAGGGTACGGAGGCAGCCAGGGAACCTGCAGTTAGGGGGAAAATCCCTCCCAAAACACCAAGCTATACCAATATTCTACATAAGTAGAACAAGGACCCGGGCAAAAAGAACATCCCCTCTCTGGGAACACACACCATCAGGACTGCGCCTCTTCCCAAGCACGTCTGCGTGCATCATGCTCTTACATGTTGCTTCCCTTTCTCCTGCAGATGCCATGCCTTAAAAAACATCTCCGAAAAACAGGGGTAAGGGAGGGGGAGAATGAAAGGAGGATACTTCATGTAATCCTTGGGGGTATATGAGAAAGTTAAAATATTCTACTGATTACCAGCAGACTGAACATGGAATGTGGCCAAAGGGGACTGTAAATCAATAAAGAGGCATCATTTTCTGGCATGGGAGTTAACTGTTTATCTTAGAGATAAACACTTAAGAAACTACAATAAATGAAGCCACTAAACAAAAAGAAATTTTTTTTTTAGAAGATGGGGAAATCTATTTCTAAAAGGCTTTCCAAGTGGGCTGGGGCAGCGGAGTAGCTCTTGCATGGCACGTACAGGTGCTGGGTTCCATTCCAATTCTGCAACAATGACAACAAAACCTTTACTAGTTTTTAGAGGCTAAAGGGGGTGTAGCTCAGCAGTAAAATGTGTGCCTAGCATGTTTGAGGGCATGGGTTCAAACCCCACCCCCAATAAATAAAATCTTTACTGGTTTTCACTCTGGGAAAGAATTGTTTCATGTTAACACTGTACTGTGGTGGGAAAATTTCAGAAAAAAACAATCATGATTTTAGTGAAGCCTTATAGAAGATTTAATTTAAAAGATTAAAGCAAACATTACTGATTCCAAAAACTTGAAATGTAAACAGTCTCAACAACAGTTCAGTTGGTACTATTTAATAAGTCAATAAAGAGAGAATATGGATCAATTACTCTAGCAAATGAAGCACATTTTTTTAGGAAAAAAAATAAATTGTAAATGTTTGGAACTCTGAATTATCACTATTCTGACAAGTAAATTAACAATCAGTTCTCATTGCAACACACAAATGAAATATGTAAAGGGCTTAAGGTGACCTACCTGTTCTAAAAGTGAATGTAGAAAGATTATCTTTTCAAGTAATCAACAAAGGTCAGTGTTTGGCAGAAACCCAGGCCCTTTAAAAACATATAGATTTGGAAAAAGGAGAACATCATTGGAAGGAGAAAGAAAAAACCAGCAACTTACTTTACAGAATGAAGTGCTATTTCAGAGCCCACATCATTACTCACACCTGGGATACAATCCTAGGCGTTTGCAGTGTAAGATTAAGTGTGGAGGTGGTGTACTATTCTAACACAGAACAAACACCAAGAGTTGTTCAGAGTAGACAGTTTGTTTGAAAATGGAGAAGACTATCCTCACAAATCTCAAGGAAATAAAGAAGTATACAGAGTGGCACTCCCTAAGCCATCAAATCCAGAGTGTAGCAGGTACTGAACCAGTGGTACCTTAAGGAGACCGCCTGGTGTGCTTCTCAGCTATTATTAATAGCCTAATAGCTACTTCCAGACTATGACAGCACTTGGCTCATTCAATTCCTGTAATGCTAGTTTTCCAGCTTCTCTTCTCCCACCCCCAACCCAAATTTGTACAAGCACCAGAAAATATTTTTCAAATGGCTTTATGTCTCTTATCACCCTGAAGGTGTTTTATATTCCCAAAGTGTGCCTAAGGCCACAATGTTAGCTTTGGAAATTTTGTCTTATCTGAACTGTAAGCCAAGAAATAAACACAAAAGCAGTTGCCTTTCTTAGTCTGTTCTTCTCCACCATCAAGCTGTGGTTAGGYCCTTAAGACTCCTTAGTTTGCAGGTAAGCCTTAAACTCTTCCTCTCAGGCTTCTGAAATATAGTTCAAGCAATAACTTAACTGAATATTCTTTTTTTTAAAAAAATATTTTCTTAGTTGTCAAAGGACCTTTATTTTATTTATATGCAGAGCTGAGTTTGGAAACCAGTGCCTCATGCGTGATAGGCAAGCACTCTACCACTAAGCTACAACCCCAGCCCCTTAACTACACACTCTATAAGATCAATTTCTTTTAGATGCTTTATACATGATACTTAATCTCTTCATCCAAAAAAAAGAGCACACCGAAAACGATCCTTAACAAGTARTTAGAAAACTACCTGCCCTGGATTTACTGATCTGAAATAGACTGACTGGCTTGCTATTATTTCCTTTAAAAATTTTGTTTAAAGATTTTTTTGTAACAAGTTTATATTTACAGAAACTTTGCAAATAAAATTTAGAACTATCCCTCACCCCAGATCCCTAATGTCTCCCATCATCACATCTTACAGGACCCCTCATACCTAAGTCACAAACTCTATACGGCATATCAATCAGCTTATCACTCTGATTTCAGTTTCACCCTCTTGATATTCCCGGGCATTAAGAACACAGAAATCTGTAATTACTATCAATGATGCAAGTGGTAAACCCAGTTTTCTCACTCACTCGGCCAGCAGGGAAGAGAAAATGCCACCGGGCCCTTCAACCTTCCCCTGAATTTCCCTCGGGGAGCTCTAGCGAGTCTGCGGACGACAGGACAGCGGTCCCCGGGGGTCTACCCGGCCCGCCGCGCGSAGAGATCCACAGACCACCTGGGCAGCGGTCCCGGGGCGCGCGGGGTCTGCGCCACGGGCCGGCGGGTCGCCGGTGCTCCCCGCGCGCTCCCGGGGGAGCGAGGCCGCGGCCGGTGTCGGGTTTCCCCGGGAAGGGGTCTTCTCCGAGGCTCCGGCCGAACAAAGGGGCGCGCAGGGGTGCGGGGRCCGGGCCCGCCGCCCCCGCCCGCCGGCCTCGCCGCGCCGCGCCTCGCCGGCTCCCGGGGCCGGCGCCAGCGCCGGGCTCGCTCGCGGCAGGTGCGGCCGGCGGGCCCGGAGGGAGCAGGCGGCGGCGGCCCCTCGGCCCGGCGCCCCGCGGCGGCCGGACTCCCGCCTCACTCACTTGTCGTACTCCTGTGTCATCGCGCTCGCTCGCCGCTGCCGGGCCGCAGAACTGGACTTTCGRGTTGGGACAGTACACCCGATCCGGGGGGAGGAGGCGGCAGCGGCGGCTGGCGGGTCCGGAGCGGCGGCCCCGACGGGTTGGGTTCGCTTTTCTCGCTCTGAGCCGGCTCCGCGCGGGCTGCGCGCACTGGGCGCGGGGCTCGGCCGCCCATTGGCTGGCGGCGCGCYGGTAGGGGGTGGGGCCTCGGGGGCCGGGAGGCCAGCCGCGCTGCCTGATTGGCCGATGGGCAGGTCGCGGGGGCGGGGCCCACAGGACGGAGCGGCGGGGGCGGGGCTCCGTGCACTGGGCTTGGGGTGGCGCGACCCGCTCTCGGCTGACSGCGCCCGCCCAGGCTGGCGCCGGCTCCCCGCAGCTTCGGCGCGCACCTGCAGCCCTCGGCAGACCTCCGCGTGCTCACCCAGAGAGCTCTGCTGTGCCCACCCGCCCCGCAGCCCTTTCCAACCCTCCGAGATCGGCCTGGCGGCCGGAGCCGCCCCCTTGCTCGCCCACTCGCCCACGCCCTCCGCTCTTCCCGTCTGCGGTGCCCCGCGGTGCCACTGCGCTTGCCTGGCAAGGGCATCGCCGCCTTCCTCGGGCCCTTTTTATCTCCCAGTTCTCGCATCCGGGCCCTTCCTGAATTTCTTAAGAAGAAATATCTTCGAAATTTCTCTTCCTCTCTTTGCCCACCGCAGGGGTCCGGTTTTAGAGTGCCCGACTCATCCATCTCAGATTGACCATTCTGTGACAGTCACTGGAAATCAGCTAACCTAACCATTGTTTCACATTGTCTGCCAGTGAGTGGCAACGTGGGTCCCTGTGGAGTGGTCATGGGAGCCTTACTTGAGCCTCCTTCCCAAGTGCCCAACCTCCCCCTCCTCGTTCCCACCAGCCTTCAGTTTCTCATCTCTACTTCGCTTGGCCCTCTCAGATACACATCTGGGCTTCAACCTCCCCCAGCGCTCCCTCCTCAGCGCTCCTTCCTCGGGCTCAGTACATGCACTCCTGTACATTCCCGCTTCCATCACTACACACAGATTGCCCTTGCCCAGCCGAAATTCCCTGTTTTTCAGAGGTGTGCTCTTCCTCAACAAACATTCAAGGAGAGGCCTACTATATGCCAGGCACTGTCGTAGATACTAGGATGGGACAGGGAACAGAACAAAATCCTCTCTTCCTAGAACATTCTAGATAGGATCACGGTAAATAATATCCTATGTTAAGAAGTGGCAAGTTCTGCAGGTAGAGGTAGTTGGGGTTTCAAAGACTTGAAGGAGGTGAGGTTGTGAGTCAGGAAGGTATTTGGGGGAAGATGGGTGCAGGCAGAGACTCAGCCATGCGTGGGAGTGGGGACTCTCCGTGTATTCAGTGGACAGCTGAACAAGAGTGTGGCTGAAGGGGGCAGAGGAGGAAAGTCGAGACATGAGGTCAGACAATAACAAGAGGGGAGGGGAGCAAACTGTATAGCCTTCTGTACAGACTCTAGGCTTTACTCTGGGATGGGAAAGCACTGGAGAGTTGGAGTAGGCAGATCTCACCTATGTTTTAAAATCATCTGGCTGCCCAGTATTAGGAGGCAATTGCRATAGTAAAAGCAAAAGCTAACAGTGGAGAGGCCTAGGGTGGTAGAGTAAAATGGTGAGTTTTGAATTCTAGCTCTATTCTGAATTCAAACATGATTTCCTACTCAAAACTGGTTACAGAATGTGCTTTTAAAAGAGTCAAAGATGATTGCAGGATTTCCAGTTGAGCAACTGGAAGGAGTGATTCGCCTCTGCTGAGATGTGAGGGCAGCAGGCATAGACAGTTTGAGAGAGGAAAAGAGTCCTGTTTGAGATGCGCTAAGGTCAGGATTTATTAACAATTGAAATAGATGTGTCAGGTAGATGCTTGGATATGAGACTGGAATCCATTGGAGAAGTTTGAGCTGAAGCTCAAATTCTGGATGTCGACMGGGTAAAGTTGGAATGTAAGTCCTTACGATGAGCTGAATTGCAATAAGGAAGGAAAGAGGATGGGACCTGCCTGGATCCCAGAGCCTCCAACACTGGAGAAAGGAGAAGAGCTGATTTTAACAGGAAGGCAGATTCAGAGGTAGGAGGGAAATGGAAATATGGAAACCTGGGGAAGAAGCTGCAACAAGGAGGAAGGAGAAGTCAGCTGGTCACTTGCCAAGGACCAAGCACATAAGCACATGTTTTTGTCCAATACCAGTTGGGCCTCATCTGCTCATATCACTGTCTGTTGCCAGGTCTCCAGACCCCTGGGACCAGGTCAGCAACCGCAGACCCACTTCTCTTGGCCATCCTGTCTGTCCTGCAGCCCTAGGTACGACACTGGACCCATGTAGCCACTTCTTTCTTATAAATAGTTTCCTATTTAAACAAAAATTTTAATATGAGCTAATTTAAGAAAATATTAAGAGTAGGACAGGTGCTCTGTAGACATGGTTCAGATCATCAGAGTAGTGTGGACTTGATGGACAAGGAAAACAAAGTCCCTCTACCTGGCCTTTCTTCTCCCTCCTCTGTCCTCATAGTGTAGCCAAAGTGGCCTTTGTAAAACACAAATTCCATGTCATTCTAGCACACGCGTGGGAAAGTCCAAGCGTCTTAGTGAGATGTCTCTGAACAACTAGCCGCCCTCAACCCAGCTGCTCCCCTGCTGCTGGTCCACACAGCCCCCCGCCCACCCCACTTCCCTGGCACCGCTCTCCCTGCCTGGTGAACTCCGCTCCACTCCCACACCCAGGAGCACTCCCCATTCCTCCAGGTGGCCTTCCTGAACACCTAGGCCCTGTGAGGCACCCCACGTGGCCCACAGTGGCTCTGCATGGTCTCAGCTCTGTCCTGTGTGAGTTTCTCTTTGTGTCTGTCTCCACTGCAATGTGAGCTTTTCTGAAGAGGACAGGGGTTGTACCACTTTTGTTGTTCGGTTCCCAGGGCCTAGAAAATATCCAGGAGGCATCTACTGAATGGGTTCAATCTGGTTCCTTCAGGACCACATCTGGGTAGACTTAAATAACTCCCCTGTTTCAGAAGATGAGAACCCTGGTGCCTTAGACTCAGTAATTGGTACATGGTAGGCACCAACTAAGTAGGGGGGGAATGAAGGAATATCAGCCCATAAAAACAAGAACAGGAAGGGTCTTATGTGTAAATTTGAATATAGGATTGTTTGGTTTATTTCTAATGGTTCTTAAGTTAAAATCTGTAAGCTATTGATGATACCTCCATTTTTAAAATTTTCAATTATAAAAAGAATTATAAATGATTAYTTAATCATAAAAAATGAATGCTCATTGTTTAAAAGAAGCAAAAAACAAAGGAAATATATAAGGAAAGATAAAAAGAGACATGTAAGTGATATAGAGGAGTAGAATATGGTTTCCTCCATTCACCATCTCTAGTCCCTCTTCCCCAGATAACCACTATTAACAGTTTTTGTGTGTTTACAGATATTTTCTAAATATGTAGAAGCACACATATAATTTCCTTTCTTACACAAATGGGACTCACACTGCAAATTCTCCATAGCTTGTTTTCACTTTTTATATTTTAAACAGTTTCCACATCGACACATAGAAATATGTACTTTAGAAAAGGCTGCATAGTATTTCTTTGTACGGATGTGTGACGATTAGGCTATATTAGTGAGCACTTACCAACAGTCACCGTGAACATTCCACTWAGTGCATTTCTGTACACTTTCTAAGTGAAGCCATAGGATGTTTCTAGAGTTGGAATTGTTGGGGGGTGGGGAGGTATGCACAATTGCAACTTATACAGATCCCTCCAGACTGTTTTCCAACAATCTGCCTACTTAGACTCCTACCAGGGGAAGGTCAGACCCCCTACTGTGCCCACCCTCACCCACCATGGGCATTACCAACGTTTGGTTTGCTAGTCTACTAGGTGATAAATAGTACTTCATTGTTTTGATTTGCATTTTTAAAAGTTACCAGTGAGATTTAGCATCTTTTGATTTGTTTGGCAAAACTTTTTAAGCTGAAGGATGGGGAAGAGTTACTTTGTGTGTGTGTGTGTGTGTGTGCGTTTTGGTTTTTATTTTAACATTTTGAGACAGGGTCTTGCTATGTTGCCCAGACTGGCCCCAAACTCATAGGATCAAGCATTCCTGCTGCCTCAGCATCTGCCAGTACCTGGGACTAAAGGCACAAAACACCACACCCAGCTAGGGCCGTGTTTTTCTCGTTTGTAATACTGTGGATTGAACCCAGGAACGCTCTACCACCGAGCTATACCCCCAGCTTACAGGTATGTGCCACTGAATCAGGCTTGGGATAGTATTTTTTTTTTTTTTAAAGAGGCAGGATCTTTGACAGTAGTTTCCCAAGTTATGAGCTTTAGAGTAAGGAACTAATTTTGAACCYGCCTTTTCCTGGAGACCCCATGGTAGACACTAGACATAGACAATGGGGCAGTATGGTTTGCAGATTGAGTGACAGACCCAGGTTGTAGCCCAGTTCTACTGACCAGCAAGGTGACCTCAGTAGAGCTGCTTTTCTCTGTGCCTCTGTAAAAGGAAATGGTTGGACAGGTCATGGGTCCCTCCAGCAAGCTTGCCCCATGGCTCTAAGATTGGTTGTTGCGGTCAGAACCGTCACAATCCACATGCTGAAGTCCAACCTCCTTAAGGGCATTCTAGTTCCTTCTCCATCTGGCCCCTGTGTCCCCAAGGCCCTGCACCCCATGTCCTGGATTCAGGCCCCTCTCCACTGGACTTCTTTTAAAGCCAAACTCTAAAACCATTAGATTCACTCTCCAAGTACCTGGACCTCCCTTTACTAAACTGCTTACCACACGTCGCTTTTTAGTTGATTCAGTTCGAGAAAAGTACTTTGAGTCGAGCAGATCTAGATTCAACTTTGAGATTGGCTTCTTGTTTTTATCCTGAGCCACCTATACCCCTGCCAGTTCTCAGTCTTCCCATCTGGAAAATGAGGAAAACAGCATCGAGTGTTGTGAAGTTAATTAAGAGAATGTACTTAAAGGACCTCACACAATTCTGGGCAGGTGCATGTTTGACAGATGGCTCCCATCTTCTCTAAAGGTTAGCAGGGCAGGAACCTGTCCAGTCTTCCAGGTTAGATGCCACCTCATTGCCACTTGACAGCCATTTGCAGG